TTCTACGTGGGCCGCAAGTTCGTGCTGTCGCGCCGCCGCGTGGCCACCTTCGCGGGGCTGCTGGACCAGCTGAACGAGCAGGTGGCCGTGCCGTTCGGCGTGCGGCGCCTGTTCACACCGACGCGCGGGCGCCCGGTGCGCGAGCTGGACGCGCTGCAGGCCGGCGGCAAGTACGTGGCGGCCGGGCGCGAGGCCTTCAAGAAGCTCGAGTAAGTGCGGCCCCGCGCGTGCTCTGCCCCCGCCAAGCGCCCGTCCTGTCCCCACGGGGCCGGAACTGCGCCCGGGTTCCCCCTCCCCGGCCCCTGCCCTGTGGCCGGTCCTGCCCAAGCGGGGCCAGGAGACAGACTCCGGCTCTGTCCCCGCCTGGCGGCCCGTCCTGTCCCCACGGGGCCGGAACTGCGCCCTGGGGTCCCTTCCCCCCCAGCCCACGCGGCCCGTTCTGCCTGAGTGGGGCGGGGGCACAGACTCCATCCGGCTCTGCCTCCGCCTGGCGGCCCCTCCTGTCCCCATGGCCCGGGGGACCGACCCTGGCTCTGCCCCCGCGGAGCGCCACCTTCTTGTGCAGATTTTCTCCACGGGGCCTCCGCGCCACCTTCTTGTGCAGATTTTCTCCACGGGGCCTCCTCGGGCGCATGCGCCCTGCCGGCCGCAGTCCCCGCCCGCTTTGTCGGGAGGGCAGGCCAGCTCCGATCACCGGACTCGTCAGTGTGGGGAGAGGGTTAGAAAGGGGATGGGGAGAGGGGGCGGAGATGTGGCAATTAAAATAGTGCGCCCAGGGTAGGCCTCTTTGTAAAGGTGAGCTCTGCGCGGAGGTCTGCAGCACGAGAGTTGGCCACGCGACGTTGGCAGGCAGGACTCAACTGGGTCCCGGCTGGTTCAGACTGGTGTTCCGGGGACCTGGGCTCGCATCCTTCCATGAGCACAGGTACTGAGGTGTGTGGTCGGCCCAGTTCACCGCTCTCTGTCCTGCTAGACTAGGAGTCTGCAGAGGACAGGAGTCCTGCCTGTGAGCAGGGACACCCCGGCCGGGTGTCTGCTAAGATCAGGACAGCAGACGGGGAGGGGGTCGCTTGTCCTGGGGACGCAGGCCTGTGTATCAACGCCAGGGCCACTCTGAAAGCCGTAGTGGAAACTGGCCATGTTCACTTGTACCAGAGGGCCCCCACCCAAATTGTCAGTTTAATTCTTTCCCGTGTATCCTGGGACTGGTATGGCAATCCTTTTGAGATCTTGCTGCATATAGGGTTCTTTGGCACTGTTCTGATTGTGGTCTTTCTTTTTCCCAGAGAGACCACAGTCTTTTGTGCGCTTATAATCCTTCTAATTTCTTCTAAACTCTCTTGGTAACTGTCATTAGACAAGTGTATTTGCAACCCAAACCTATCTTGCAGTTCTTAGCAAAAGCTATTGTGCCCTTCTTCCTATAGGGAGCCCCCCGGGGGGTGCTGCAGAGGCTGAGGGGGCTTCACAGTGTATGTTTGGGAGAGATAAGAGCCACACAGAAGTAGCCACAAAAGACAAAGTGGCAGCTATTGTGAGGGAAGCACAGGTTTGATGCTGCCTGGGTGCAGGGCCTCGGAAAAGGCTTCCTCTACGAAAGGGAAGGGAGAAGACTGTTTCTGAATCCTCCGTGAATTCCCGAGCCGCCTGGGCTTCACTCATTGCTTCTGTCTGCCTTTGAAGGATATTATTACCATTTCTTACACTGTTGTTGACTTCATTTCTTTTATCGTGAAAAGAATATATATACAGGATATATACGGAAGAGTGTATGCAACTCCATGCGTAAGGAATAGTAACAAAGCAGGCCTCTGTGGATTAGCTGCATTTTAAAACCCTCCTACCTCCACCCCCATCCTTTCCCTATAGGTAAGCACCGTTTTAGCTTTTTAAAAGAGTATTTTATTTTATTTTGTTTTTTTGTGGGAGAGGGTAATTAGGCTTATTAATTATATTTAAATGGAGGACTGGGGATTGAACCTAGGACCTCGTGCCTACTGAGCATGCACTCCACCACTGAGCTATGCCCTCCCCCCTATTTTGGCTTTTGTAATAATCATCTTTTCATAGTCATCTATCCCTGAAGGGTAGGGTTTTTTCAGTGTTTCACATACTTTATGTAAATGCTATTATATTGCATACATTTTTCTGTTACTTGCTTTTTCATACAATAATATGCTTCTGAGACTTACCCACGTTAATAGCATGTAGCTAATAGGTCATTCGCTTTTCACTGTTACGTATTATTTCACTGACTGATGTACCAGTTTACTTATCCAGTCTGTTGATGGGTAACTTGGGTCGTTGTAAATGTTGTGCTAAGATCAGCAACGCTGCTGTAAACACGCTCCTGCGTGTCTCCTGGTGCACAGGGCAAGACCATCTCTAGGGGAGCGTGTCAGTTATCCGTGTCTGCGTGTCCTGTTAGTGCAAGCTTACTGGCATAAAATGACCTGTATTATCTCCCAGTTTCTGTGATCAGGAATTCAGGAGCAGCCGAGTGTTTCTGGCTCAGAGGCGCTCATGAGTTTGCAAGCAGGATGCTGGCCGCCGGCGTGAAGGCCTGACTGGGCGGTGCTCGCAGCCTCCCTCCCAGGCGCATGGCGGGAAGCCCTGTCTGGGACCGGAGCCTCTCCGCGGTGACTCTCAGCGGGCTCCCCAGCCTGAGTGATCCAGGCTGAGGCCACGGTGGCTGGTTCTCTCAGGCTGTCTTCTCCCTCCTTCTGCTAGGTTATCTTTATGGGCTGGCCATTACTTTTAAAAGTTATTTTCAGAAATAATTGGAGGCCTAGGATGATAATATCTTTTGCCAAAGTAGATTTTTGTGACCTTCAGCCACGTACCCCTGTCACCCCAGTTCACGATCAACTTGGTACAGCTTCAGAGTGTGAGATGGTTCAGGCCAGACGGCTGGGAGCCGGGACGCTCCCTCCTTCTCAGGGGCAGCGCAGGGGGTCCCGGTTCACAGAGGGCGGCTCGCTGTAGCCGCGGCGGCGGTGGGCTTTGCCTGCTGGCTGCAAAGGCTGTCAGAACCGCGGTTCACTCTCTGAGTTTTCTGTGCCCAGCAGCAACTACCTCTGGGCCACAGGGGCCCCGGGCGTCAGGCTCATGTCTTCGGATTTCCCTTCTTACCTGCAGTGCGGTAGTTCCTCACCATCTTGTCGGATGTCTTGTGTTTCAACGACAGCTCTCTTAGTTTGTCCAGTTTTATCAGTTTTTAGTGGAAGGGTTGATCGGCGTTACTTAGTCCGTGGTTCCCAGAGTGGCAATCTTCTTTTTAAAAAATTTTAAAATTACTTATTTAATTTTTAAATTTTTTTGTTTGTTTTTTTTGGGGGGAAGGTAATTAGGTTTATTTATTTATATATTTATTTATTTATTAATTTTTTTTTTGTTTTTTGGGGGGAGGGAATTAAAGTTTATTTACTTACTAATTTATCTAACAGAGGTACTGGGGATCGAACCCATGCATGCTAAGCACGTCGTCTACTGCTGACTGAGCTCTGCCCTCCCCGCAGAAGCCTTTTTACCTTTGTTCTCCACGTACGTTTCTGCTGTGATTCTGTGGATGATGGCGCCCTTCCACCCATGACAGGTGTTTTTTCATTGTCTTCTAACTTAGTGGTTGCTGGCGAGAAATCAGCTGTCGCCATTCACTTCTTTGAAAGTAGTGGTTTATCTTTTTCAGCTTTTTAAAATCTATTCTCTTTGATTCTGTGTGCTGTGCTTTAAGTGAGATGTCTACATGCAGATTTACTGAATTCTCTTGAGTCTCCGGTGGTAACTGCCGGTGGTCTTGGGGCCTGTCAGCCATTGTCTGTTCAGAAGATGCCTCTGCCTCCGTTTCCTCCCCTTGCTTTTCTGCGTCTCAGTCGACATGGGTTGGCCTGTTTCGTTGACTCCGACCTCCGGGAGTCCCCCTCTTTTCCGTGCATTTTTCTCTCTTTTATCCTCGTGCTCTGCTCTGGGGACTTCCTTCACTTGGAGCTTCTCATTAAGTTTTCTGCTGTGTATACAGTGCTATCAAACCAATTCACTGAGTTTTAAATTTAAATCATTTAGTTTTTCATTTCTAAAAATTCTATCTGGTTTTTCCATATTATTCTTTTGTGTTTCTTTGTCCTCTGTGTGTTTTCAAGTTTGCCTTTTGTTGAAATACTGTCCTTCTGTGGTCTGTGCTTGCAATCCCGGCCGTTTGAAATTCACCTACTTCCCCTTATTTCAGCTGGTTTTGTCTCGCGGTCCTTTCTCTCCTTGTTAGTTTACTTAGTTTTTGAGAAGGAGTCTGCAGATGACTCCTTTTCTGCGGGGTTTGATCTGAGGAAGCTCTCTGAGGGCTGAGGTAAAGGCGAGATTCTCCAGAGAAGATTTCCATTTTCTTCTCCCAAATGTCAGGCACGCTCTGTCTCCAGAGATGCTCCTAATTAAATCAGTAGCTTGAGGGTTTCTGGACCACCCAGATAGTGTCATTTTGTGAGCTGGCTGGCTTGTGATCCAGATTCTTAATGGCGTCTGCAAAGGTGCAAACTTGCCATGCTATTGTTTTTAAAGAAACCTGGTAAGTCACAGACGTCACGGTTGCTGAGAGGCGGAGTCTGGATTAACGCCGTGACATTTTAGATTTAAATTTATTACTGTGATAATCCTGTTACGTACGGGCATCCCCTGGCAAGGATGTGCACCTTTGTAGATATTTCATTTTGTGATTATTTTTTCAGGGTTCATTACCACATGCTACACACTGAATGTCTGTGTCCTTCTGAAATTCGTATGTTGAAACTGAACCGCCTTCCCCATGTGATGGTGTCAACTTGGGAAAAAATGCACAACGTAGGGGTTGTGAGTTGAGTTTATTCAGTGTCTTACTGAGGATGTGGCCCAGGAGACGGCTGCTCAGACAGCCCCACGGAACTTCTCTGAGAGGCTGGGGAGGAAGACATTCCCCGTGTGATTTGGTGAAGGCGTTGTGCACTCGAGCATCCGTCTCAGTAGAGGGGCTGCTAGTCACGAGAAGACATCTCAGTCAACAGTGCTAGTGCTTTACTAAGTATGGAAAGGTGCAAGAATCCAGGTTCATAAGAAATTTCTCCTGAAATATTTCTAACTGTCTCAAGGCCTGGTCCTCACCCGAGTTCCTTCCCAAGTGCGCTGGAGGTCAGCCACTGCAGTGGCTAACGGCTTGATCCTTGTAGAAACAGATGGCAAGCGAGCGACCTTCCTTTTTAATGGTGTCAGGAGGTGCGGCCTCTGGAGGTGATGAGGTCATGAGGGTGGAGCCTCTTGTGGGATTAGTGCCCTTATAAAGGAGGCCCCCCGAGAGCTCCGAGTGAGGACGCAGCAAGGAGATGCTGTCTGTGATCCAGGAGGCGGGCCCGCAGCAGACACTGAATCCATCAGCACCTTGATCTCTGACTTCCAGCCTCCAGAGCTGTGAGAGGTGAATGTCTGCTGTTTAAGCCCTGGCCCCAGGCTGGGATGTTTTTGTTATCGTAGCCCGAACAGGCTGGATACTGATTTCCCAGCAGCATCTGGTCTTGTGGTCTCACAGTCACGAAAGAATATGTTTCTACAAAAATTGATTTTAAAATCCTTTTCAACATATGTGCGATGAAAAGTATTTAATCTCCCCCCCCCAAAACGTTCCCTTGTAAGAGTGACGTGTGTTTTATCTGGGAGCGGATGAGGGAGGAGGCTCGCGGAGCATCGCCCATTGCGCCTGGACCGTGATCAGCAGGTGCCAGTCTTTCCTCTTTCCTGTGGGTTGAGGTGTTTTCTAGGAGACCGTGAGACCTCTGATTTGGCAGAGAGATTTTCAGGGTTTATTTAAAATGTTCTGGACGTGTGGCGGAAGTACGGAGAAAGACTGAGGTGTTTATTTTCTCAGGTTTCTGAACATCGATGATTATGTTCTGCAGGGAAGGAAACGCGACTTAGTTCGCTGAACAGGCGGGGGAGGTGGGGCTCCCACGTGGCGGAGAGTCCCTGTTACTTTGCATTTTCCAGGCACCTTCATGGCCACAGAACAGATGGGTGATGTTTGCATGTGGAGATCGACACGGAGAGGCATTTGGGTTTCATTTTCTTCACTTCTTTTTAAGTCAGTGAAGTATGAAATCAGAATCCAGACTTCGGTGAATAAAACTCTGAAAATGATTCTGGCTGGGTTTGTGCTGGTATCGGTAAGCTGGCACCTGTCAGGATGTATGTTCTGTAATTACGGAGCCGTTGAGCGGTTAAAATTAATTTTCACCAGCAAATAAGCTCCTGATTGTGCCGCCAGCAGATGAACGTTGAAGTGAAACCTGGTGATATATTACCCGTCCCAGAGTCTTCTCAGGATAATGGCTGTGAAACGGTACATCGAGAAGACAAATACCGTTAAAATCTACCCCTGAGCCAATCATTATTCAAACATTTCCCACATTTGCTGGAATAAATTAATTTGAGATGAGGAACATAATTTTTTCTCTATAAAACAAAGTATTATAGGCTAATAATTACTTAAAAAAATAAATGTCCCATAAAGCCTAGAATTTATGATTTTTTTGTGTGAGGAAAGTTGTATTCAAAACAAAATGTAGATCAGGGCATTGTGTGATTGTGTGTGTGTGTGTGTGTGTGTGTGTGTGTGTGTGTTTGGGGAGACCTGCAAAGAATTTGAATTCTAGTAGGAATTTTTCCTATTTACCCTGGAATTTGTTGTTGAGATGCAAAGTGGAAGTGGTTTTTAAATCAAACTGTAGAAGCTCGTTGACACTCCAGCTTTACTTCTAGTGTCCTTACCACCCATTTGTACCCGAGGACTAGTGGGTAACAGGCAAAGGGGGGAGTCTCTGGCGAGGCAGCCACGCCAGAGAAGAGGAATGTGGTCCTGGAGCCGAAGACCTGGGGTGAATTGAATATGGCTTTTCCCATCTGGGAGCATTTAGCAAATTAAATAACCTTGCTGAGACTCAGTTTCCTCATCAATAAAATGGGACCAGTTAATACCTACTCCAGTGAGATGTTCTGAGAATGAAATGAATGCAGTGCTTTAAAATGCCCGGCTTGATTCTAGCGGTTGGTTTCTTCCTTCCCTTTATTCTCCAGAAGCAGCAAGGAGGGACATCACACATCAGCGTCTCGTGTCTGCTTCTCATTTGTGCTGCACACCCCCCACCCCACCCCCAAGGAAACCTAAGTCCAACCGGAACTACCTCTTCTGAGCACCTGGTGTAAAGGCTCGGGTCCGCTGGATCTCTGAGGGAGGTCCTGTTCCCTCTTTCCGCGCCGTTCCTGGGCTCTTTGGAAGGCAGCATCGAAACAATAAAGAGCATTTTGTGATTTTCGATCTTTTTATGCCTTAATTTTAAAATTAATCTTCTACCTTTTGGTTTTTTTTAATGATAATAAGCTGTCTCATTTGGGGGGGCTTGTGCTCATGACCTGCTGTGGAATTTGGGGATCTAGAACTGGAATACCTATTTGAAGGCCAGCAGGAGCATGCCTGGGAGGGCTGGGAAGCCAAGGCGGCGAGCGGGAGATTTGCAGGCTGTTTGGGTCCCTCAGTTTTCAGCTTTGCACTGGCTGCAAATTTTTTTTTTTAATTTAAGAACTTCATTAACAGGTGCTTGCAGTTTGTTGACTTGTTTGAAAAAAAATCAAGCTGCAGAATGCAGTTTGGTGCAGCCACTGTGGAAAACAGTATGGAGATTCCTCAAAAGACTAGAAATAGACTTACCATATGACCCAGGAATCCCGCTCCTGGGCATATGTCCAGAAAGAACCCTACTTCAGGATGACACCTGCACCCCAGTGTTCATAGCAGCACTGTTTACAATAGCCAAGACATGGAAACAACCTAAATGTCCATCAACAGATGACTGGATAAAGAAGATGTGATATATTTATACAGTGGAATACTACTCAGCCATAAAAACCGACAACATAACGCCATTTGCAGCAACATGGATGTCTGTGTAGAATGTCGTTCTAAGTGAAGTAAGTCAGAAAGAGAAAGAAAAATACCGTATGAGATCACTAATATGTGGAATCTAAAAAAAATGAACTGAAATACAAAACAGAAACAGATTCATAGACATAGAATACAAACTTATGGTTGCCAAGGGGGAGGGGGTGGGAAGGGACAGACCAGGAGTTCAAAATTTA